AATTTATGATGTATTCCATGTTTCTATACTTCACAAGTACATTCTAGATCCATTTCATGTTTTGGAATCACAACCAGTACAGTTGAAAGAAAATCTTACCTATGAAGAGGAACCAGTTCAGATATTGGACAAAAAGGAACAGGTCTTGCGTAGTAAGACTATTCCTTTAGTTCAAGTCTTGTGGAGGAATCATGCTATAGAAGAAGCGACATGAGAAAGTGAAGAGCAGATGCGTACTCAGTATCCCCAAATTTTCCGCTCTTAGTTAATTGAATTTCAATGACAAAAATTCTTTTAAGAGGGTGAGTTTTGTAATATCTTAAATTAATGGAAAGAAAAGTCAAACAAAAAAAATGACAAAAGACAAAAAAATGGCAGGCGGTGGAAACTCAAACCAATCCACAAATCCATTAATTAATAACACACAACACACACAAGAAAGTGATTCAGAGAAGAAGAAGAAAGAAAAGAGAGGAAAAAAAAGAAGAAAAGAGGAAGAGAAGAAAGAAAAAAAGAAAAAGAAAAAAATCGTCAACGTGTTAAGAATTAAGTGCTCTATACTATTATGCTTGAATTTCTCAATTTTGAAAGATAAGTAAAATGTTACTTATTGAAAGGTTATGTATAATTTTATAGTTGTTAGATTGTTAGATTAAATTCAATTTTATTAAAGGGGTTAAGTATAATAAACTATGAAATTGAGTAAAATGAAAGAAAAATTAGTTTTAGTAATTAAAGAGACTTTAAAAATTGCCTAAACGTGAAATAATTAAGTTTCGGTATCGCATATTTAATTATTGAAATTACTCAAAATAGTTAATTGTTGATTTAAAAATTATATTATATTTCAGGCGGCGATACGGATATCGGGATAGTTTACCGACAGAGTTGATTTTGGTATATATAGTTTTGTGAGTGAAAAAAATATTAATTTTTTTTAAAGTATTTATAAGTTAAGTATATTATCAAAGTACGTGAAATTATATGTTCGATTATATGATTATTATAGAAATCTCTTTTATTATGATACACATGGAATCTTAAAGATTATTTATAGCACATTTGTGACTTGGTATGTAAGACATGTGATATTGAGATTTGTTTTGTATGTCAAACATGTAATATTGAGATCGATTAGAAAAGTATCCATGATTATATACTTCTTCTAGTTCACAGAGGAGCCTTGGCTGTGTTTTATCCTACATAGAGGGGTCTTGACTTGACATTGATTTTGATCATGTACATATAGTTCATAGAGGGGCATTGGTCGTGTTCTAGAATTGATTACAAGAGGTCTTTGAGACCCACTTTCATTCATGGAGGGGGCCAAAGGACCGTAATGAAAGTTCTTAGCCCTAAGGGCGGATTACATATTTCAGTCAAATGATACATTTTTTGTGATTTTTTCAGCATGTTTGATGTGATGAGATTATAGGATGCTTATCAGCTGATGTTTATATCATTATTTTAAGATGATATTTTATAACCTTATATGAATATTTCACTTTTTGACTATAATTACATGATGGTAGCTTGTGAATTATCAAATGATATGAACTTGATTTTCAATAAAAATTTATAAATGAAAAAGTATATTTATTTTGAACTTCTCCACTAACTGAACTATCAACTCATATATTTTCTCAAGTTTTTTCTTATCAGGTAGCAGTTGAGTATCTGGGTATCTTTTGGAGTTGATCCTTTGATTTTGGAGTCAGAGCCACACGACAGAGGTTGTTAATATGACTTCATAGAATATGTAGTCAGTATTTTGAAATGACTTCATAGAATATGTAGTCAGTATTTTGAAACGCATGTTCATGTTTAGATGTGATTTTGCATCGCTTGTAGATACTTATAGGCCTTACTATGTATTTTGTATCCATATGTACATTTCATTTTATTATTTGGTAAAAGTTGAGGTTTCAACTTATCTTTATTGTGTCGTGTTATAGTTTGGGATTTGTGTGAAATCGATCACAAGGTGGTTAGTCCTATTTACAGGGGAGATAACGTCGAAATTCTGCTAGAAAATGATGTATAAAAAGTTATATATTGTACTTGTAGTAGCCTTGATGGTGGGTCCAACTTTTAGTTGGTATCTATCATCGACACATGCTACGTTTAGATCCAATAGTTTTACACGAGGCGGGGTGTGTCAGTGGTGGTGATGTTCGTGGCAGTGAAGGCGGTGGTCTAGTAGTGATTGTGGTTGTAGTGGGGTGGGGTGGGGTGGTGGTGAAGGAGGAGGAGGCGGCAATGACGTGGTGATCACAAATTATTTGGTTGACTATAGCAGTTAAATTGGTTAATCTGTGATCAATAAATGATATGTGACCAATGAAAAAACTAAACTGTGACCAAGAAACAATGTTTCACCTAAAATAATTTGTGACATGTTAAAATTATAATTTGTGATTGAAAAATATGTGACTAACGAAATCGTTAATTTGTAACCAAACTGTATGGATTTGTGATCTTAATCTATTTAATTAATAAAAAATATAATTAATTAATTAAATTATAAATAAATTTTAATAGATATCTAATTTTTGAAATTTGAAACATTTATTCTTAGTTTTGATATTGGTGATACTTAACCTCTTAGCCCCCGTTTGATCCCCATTTTTTGATAATGAAAATGGGAGGAATATTATTTTTTTTGAAAAATGAGTGGTTGAAAAAGAATAAAAAAATTTCGATTCACGTGTAATATTATTTTATTGAAGATTGTGTGGTTGAAAATAGGAGAGAGAAAAATAGAATGTAATGAAATGTAATTTAATGGGGGCCATACGGGGGCTAGTTATAAATTTTTCCTAGTTTTATAAATAACCTATGTCTAAAAAAATTACAGTTTGTGTAAAAAATATAGTCCAAGTCCTAACATTAATTCAATTCCACTCTTAACAAAGACACAAAGCATTTTAATTTCAAAATTCTCATTCTGTTTCTCCACTCGACGGGTTCATCAATAGAACTACTGAAGCATCTCCTCTACCCCTTGTTGAATTTGGTACGAATAAGGCAGGGTATATTTTTCACCGACATATGTGCTCAGTGTTATAAGCATCTCCTCTACTTCAAGGTACAAATAAAATCGAATACTGTATTATTTGGAAACTGGCGAAGGCATTTATTTTCATTAAGTTATCTTTATTGTTAATTTTATCCTTTTTTTTAATATGATAATCTTGTTGATTTTCGACCATAATAACAAAACAAATGAAGAGGCAAAAAAAAAAAAATCAATTGTATTCCAGATCGTAAATGTACATTATATTGCTGAGTATAAATAGACGAATGGACAACAAAATCTAACTGATTCTAGCTGTACAAATTATATACAATGGACATGTGGACTAGATCAAACTAACTCTAATTATTCTAACAGACTAACTGAAGTTCTCGCTTGCATATTCCAGCTGCATCTCTTACACGTGTTGTCTATTACTCACCCTCAAGATTGAAGATGAGGGTTGACAACCCCCATCTTGGATAGTAGAGGAAACAATAAGGTAGCTGGTAAAGCCTTCTTAAAAATGTCAGCCAATTGGTGAGAAGATCGAACAGGCAAGAGCTTGTTAGAACCATCACATACTTTATCTCGAATAAAATGATAATCTATCTCTATATGCTTAATTTGTTCGTGAAAATTAGATTAGAAGCAATATGTTGCCACTTGATTATCACAAAAAAATTAAGGCAAGATCCTTTTGTATGATCTGAAAATCAAGAAGTAGTTGTTGGAGGCTAACACATGGTACTCAACTTCTGCTAAAGATCTGGATATGGTGGATTGCTTCTTAGCTTTCCAAGAGATCAAAGAGTCTCTAAGAAACACACAAAAGCTGGTGACTGATTTTCGTGTATCAAGATAAGAGCCCCAGTCTGCGTCTGTAAAGGCTCTCAATTGATGTGAAGAATGTGCAGAAAACATGAGTCCTTACCCTGGAGTAGCCTTGATATACCGCAAAAGATGGTGAGCTGCATCCAAATGAGGCTGTCTGGGCTGTGAAACAAATTGGCTTAACTTGTGGATTGCAAAAGAAATGTCTGGTCTTGAAATGGTTAGGTAAAGGAGATGGCCAATCAACCTTCGATACATGGAAGCATCAGTAATCAGATCACCCTCAAAAGAACTAAGCTTGAGTTTGGGATCCATAGGTAGAGTGGTTGGTTTGCTAGCCAAGAATCCAGTGTCTTCTAACACTTGCAGAGTATATTGTCGTTGTGACAAAAAAAAAAATACCTCATTAGGATCTGGCTATTTCTAGCCCAAGAAAATACTTCAAATTTCCAAGGTCCTTTAGCTTGAATTGAGTGTGCAAAAAGACTTTTAAACAATCAATTTCATGCCGGTTGCAACCTGTAATGAGAATGTCATCCACATATACCAGAAGGGCAATGAAGTTGTTACCCGAACATTTGGTAAATAGTGAGAAGTCGTGTTACAACCCACATTTTTATCTAGTCAAAGTCAATAGTAGAATTTTCAAAGTCAAGTCAAATGAGGATTTGTATGAAATAAAGCATTTTTATTGGGACTCGATTGACCAAATCATTTTATTTGGGTTTATCTTATAAATTATAAATATATTTTGAAGGTTAAATTTGATATATTTTTAAGTTGGAAACTTATATAATTTTGGAAGTGTTAGGATTAAATGTGATATTAAAAAGGGAGTTGAAGGACTTAGTTTGCAATTATGGGTTAGTGAACCATTTAATTCAACCATTTGACCCATTCTCTCTCAATTTCACACCAAAACACACACACATAGAGTAACGAGAGAAGCAGAGACCGGTAGTGAAGGAAGAAAAAAGGAAAGAAGAAAGGAAAAAGAAAAAGGAAAAGAAGAAAGGAAAAAGAAGAAGAAAAGAGGTAAGGTTAATCTCTTCAAGTTGGGTTTAATTTTTCCACTTTGTTTTTGAGTGATTAAGTATGATTTATATTAAATTTTTAGGGTTTTAACTTGTAGAATAAAATGTCGAATTTTAGATGATATTTGTACGAATTGGAGCTCAAGTTTGGGGATTTCTTCATTTCCAATTTCAGCTAGGTAAGGGATATTATTTTAGCAAACCCTATAAATTTTATTTGGGATTTTTGGGATTAAGTATGTTCATGGAAATGATGATGTTGAGAAAATAATTATTTGGAAGCATGAAATTATGGAGCAAGAGGAAAAATTTAATTAGTTGAATTATAGCAACTTCTTGTCACTTGAATGATGTGGATTGTCACAGTGATATTTGGAAGTGAAGGTTATGTTGATAAATTAGTTATTAGTCAATGGATTATAAAGTGTGATTAGCTCCAATTAATAAAGGAAAATTTGAGAACTTATTCAAGTGTCCAGAAAATTTAATTTTAAGTTCTATCATTAGATATTAAAGTTTCTTGATTAGATAGAGGATAAATTGGTTATTAATATCGTATTTCAGGTGGTGGCGAAGAAATTGGAAACGTTTATCAGCCAATCTAGCTTGTAGCTCATACCTTGTGAGTGCATAAAATTTATTTTTCAGAAATAAGTCTTCTTTAAATTTTAAAGTTGTTTATTTTATAAAGTTGACTTCATAGCATGATTTTCAAAATAAAATGGATTTTATTATCAATTGCTTTTAAAGTTAAATTCAGTTCAGTTAAATTATTTTAGTAGTATGTTATATTCTTATTACATGTTTCAGTATGGTTAAAGTTATTTCTAAAAATCACCAGAAAGTACCCAGGTGATTTTACCCCAGTTTGCACTGATGTGAATGTGTTTCCATAGTGTATGACTAGTTATAGTGATTTTATCAGCTCTGCACTATCATGAATGTATTTTCATAGTGTATGACCAGATTATCAGAGGTCTTTGGAACCCACTCTCGTACACATATAGACTTTGGACCGTGTACTAGGGTGATTAGCCTTTGGGACAGCTCTGCGTACGTATGACCAGATTATCATATTATCAGCTATCAGATTATCAGATTTGAATGGCTTTGCCTTGTACATCGAGATTACTCTGTATATGAGTAAGGCTATTCATTGGGTACTCTTTTTGGTGTGATTTTTCAGTATTTATTCAGTTCTCAGATTTCAGATTATGGAAGTCAGTTAATTCAGTTTTCAGAATAAAGCTTTCAGCTTATACTATTGAGCAGCAGCAATATTTCATAGATTTTCATGAATATCAAATTATTTATATTTGTTATATCTCACAGATACTTATCTAGAATTTAGAATAAAGAATTTTGTAATGTAATCATGTCTAGTTTTTGAAAGTATTACTAGATTCGAAAATTCTCAAGGATTTAATAAAATTGAAATTTTTAGAAAATATGCATAAATGGAAAAAGTTTACTTATTTGGAAATCATCCATTCACTGAGTTATAAACTCATATATTTTTATCATGCTTTCCTATCAGGTGACCGTCGATTTTGAGATACTGGGAAAACTCTGCTGAAGCGAAAGAGACCGTTTCATAGTATTTAATGTATAGTTGGGGGACTCATGTTTATTAAGTACTTTGTCTAATATTTGGGGCGTCATGCACTTTGTAGAAGGGTTTGTAATTGATGTAATGCTTGCATGTAGACATGATGTCGTTGTAAAAGCACTCAGTCGAAATTTGTTATATTTTATTTTAGTTGTGGTGGTATTAGTGGAAGTGGTGGTTTCTAAAACTTTTGATTTGAATGTCTATTTGAGGTTTTGATGATTTTTCAGGTTGGTTTTGTCCATTTTTAAGGTGAAACTCTGTCAAAATTTTCATAGAAATATAGCACAGTCAAATTAGGTCAAATTTGCTTTGGTGGTGGGTCCGACATTTAACTGGCATTTACCACCGGCGCACGACATGTGTCGAGTTAATTAGGTTGAGTCGGGACGGGTCATGTCAAGTCGGACTTTGATTGTTTAAAACCATGAGCAATGAGGGAATTGGAGAATTTAGAGAACCATTGCCGGGATGCCTACTTAAGACCATTGTTCGCGAAATATTTCTTTCGATTTAAATTATCGCAAGTGTACGGGTCGTGACAAGTAATAAAGTGGACTTTAGAAGTCCGAGTATCGTCCCACAGAGAAAGAGTAGTTCAATTTTATTTATTTTAGCCTTAACCGAAACTAATTAAATTAAAATGAATTTTGGAATCAAAAGCCCTAATTTTGGGAGAAATCCCCAAATTGAAAAACCCTAATTTCAAATCAAACCCTAATTTGGGGGAAATCCCCAAATTGAAAAACCCTAATTTCAAATCAAACCTTAATTACTTAAATTCACTTAATGAATGACTCAATTACGAAATGTTATGAAAAATAAATGAAACGTATTGTCAATTTATGAAAATTTATGTAAAACGAATGCACTAGGATCACGAATCCCCAAATAATTACTAATTAAACCCTAATTTCACAATTTTGATAATTCAATAAGAATTTGACAAATCAATGCTCCTAAATCTATTCAATACTCTCTCTCGAGATGTATTGAACCTATTCTCATAAATCATCAGCCTATATCTCTATGGCGGATGCAATTATACAAGAACGCATATAATCTTTTTGTGAGCAATTAAAGATTTACATAGGGCATAGGGGTATATTTTTATCCCCTATCGGACCCTATGATGAATTATATATGTCGAGTTTAATCTAATTTTCTCAAATTCAGAATTAAACCACCAAGTTCACACAAATTAAGTGCACATTAATTGTGGAAATAAATAAACCAATATAATCCATTCAAATATCCCATCGAACTAATAATTCAAAATCATGAAATAGCAAGTTTAATAATAATTACATGGTTCATCGATCACCTAATTGCAAAAATCTAGCCCATCATGATAAAAATAACGAAATCTAACAAAGTATGAATAAAATACATCACCGGGTTATCAAAACTTGAAAAAATCTTGTAAATCTCGCATCAATTCTTGTTCTTGCATTCAAATCCACTCCAAGATGAATGTTTTTGCCTCCCAATTCGTTCGTGCGGCTTCTGGATGTTTTGTTGCTATTTAAACCCGTCCAAATTAGGTTACCAAAGGAGTTGCAATCATATAAGGAAACTGCAAAAGTCGGAGAAAAATTATACCTATGCGACCGCATAGGCATAAGAAAAATGGCGTTTTTAATCCCTGGAGGGTCACTCGCGACCGCATAGGTTTTATACTATGCGAACGCATCTTATTTGAGTCATTTTGATCCTCAAGTTTCATTCCTTCACTTCTTGACCTCCTCTCTTGTTTCTAGTTGCTCCAATGTTCCATTATAACTTTCAATTGGTGCTTGGTTTGATCAATTGCTTGATGTGTTCATCGGGTCAACTTTCAGATAATTGCAACTTGGTCCTTTTTCGGCTCTTTTCTCCTGAATTCCACCATTTCCATAGAATTACCTACATTGCTTGAATTTGACAAAGTTAAGTAACAATTTAATCATTTTACTTGTATTTAAGTCATGTTTGTAATGTAAATAAATATGCAAAAACACACTTATCAACCATAAAAAAAGGTTGATTTCCAACATACGAGGTTAATTCTTTACATTTGGATATTGAGTTCGAATTACAAGAATTCGATTCTTCCTTGAATTCTTAATTTTAGGTTTCGGAAGCAATACTGGGATTCTTGATTGAAATTTTCGACCTTAATTAGAATTGTTCATTAGATATTTTTTAACTCTTTAACCTTTAATTAAGACTGTTAATTAGGTTTAACTATTACAAACTTTTGATTGGAATATTGATTTTAAATTTAATCTTAATTGGAATTATTTGAGTAATTGTTTCATTAATTATTGTTCAAACTTATTTGTGTAATTATCTTTGCTGATTAATTGTTGTTTAAACACTTCTTTTTGCGGTATAATCAGGTTTTGGTAGAATTCATGTTAATTTTATTTTTTTTTGATTGGAAAATAAATTCTAGTAAATATGAATGACATAAAAGCTTTTTTTCAATTTTAAGTGACATGATGTTTAAATAATCTTTAAAAAAAATAAAAAAATCAATAACTGTTTCTCTATCATTCAAATCAATATCGTGCTTAAAAGATTATTGATTTGCATCCGTTGCAAAGCCATATTGGATCATATGCATGATTAGTGAAATTACCAAGTTAATTTATCCATAGATTTCTTAACTCTAATTTAACACAAATTCTAACTCTATTTGTTTTGATAAATTTCAAACGTGGTTGCTCATTTCTAGTTGCTCGACTTTCACAGTTAATGTTACTTCACTCTTGAAATACCCTCACATATTATGCACTTATTTGTTACATATATTTTTATCCAAATGAATTTTCTAGTGTGTTGTTGTCTTCTCAACGTATTATTTTTAATTGTTGAATTGTTGTTGTCTAATCTTTTATTATTGGATAGTTGTTAGCTTATCGACTTATTTAAACTGAGATTATTGTTACTATATCAACTTATTATTAAATAATGTGCATTGTTGTTGCTTCGTCCCCTCTTTTATTTATTTATTTATGTCATTTTTAAATTTTACAAATGAAAGGTCAACCTTCTGCCAGGAAAGGAAAGACATTGTTTTCATTTTTTAGAAAGACAGTTCAATCTAGTGAAAGTACAATTCATTACGGAATAAATGAAAAATGAACATTTAATTTCTACCGTGCAACACTTTATGAAGAGAGCTTGCTGGACAAATAGATTTTGGGTTTGTTTGATAGTTATTTTGAGAATTAATTTTTTGATCGTTAGAGAGAAAAACGGGTGTTACTATGAGAAAAGAAGTAAAAAATATGACGGCTTGAAAGTGAAATAACGATTAAAAAATTGATTTTTTGGAGTGAGAAATCAATACCAAATATGTACCTAGATTTTATCATAGATAAAAATTATGTTTCAAATCCTCGACGTAAGCAACTCAATACTATTGTCCTTCAATATATATATATATATATATATTTATTTATTTATTATATTGACTTGCTCAAGTTTCAGCCAATTTAACGAAAATTCCGAATCCACCCACCCCTACTTTCAAGCAAGATGAAGATGGTCACATGTTCATGAGGCACCGCCAGCACAAGGCCATTATACTAAACACGTAAGAGACATTTGTTGTGACAGTCGGAGAAAAAACTAAATTAACTTAAAAACATGCCGTGAAATTGCTGAATTTGGACTGGCATCTCGTTCTATACGACGGCTAGAATACTGAAGAATTTCTAGCAGAAAAGATGATGGCCATAGCTATGTTTTTTGTTCGTAGGAGATAATTAATCTGGCCGGCGGGAGCTCATTAACTCAATAAAGACTACAGTCCTCCGTTAATTTCCGTGTGAATGACACTGGAATCAAACACAGCCCTCTTCTTTGTAGATCAACTCCTTTTTCTGCTCCCTGTATATGAAGCAAGTTCTGCACACAAATTAACACAAGTAAATCGAAGTAGTAATTTTCGATATAATATAACCTTTAAATTTATCCTCTTGAATTAGGAAATATACACATAAGTTCTAAGTTCAGTCTATCAGTCTGGATAAGCCCAAAAAGTAATAAGTGAAAAACCTGAACTTGATCTTGAAGGACGTTGATAGAAATATAAGCCTCGAGAAGCACTGAAGCCGTGTCAGTCTGCAAGTGGACCGAAATTTAAACTCAATAAGAAATAACTTGATTCACGAGAAATCTTAATGAAAATAGGATTACTCTGACAATTGCGACATTTTCCAGTCAATATCAGCTTGAATAAGCTTGATCAATAACAAAAATTTGAATAGATTCAAATGTTTTTATGTACTGCTATTTCGAGGTCAACATATTAAACATATATATATGTTAAGTTGTGGAATTTAATTATTGTCACTGTTTGGAATCAGTACTCGAATCGATCTCTGCTTGAGATCGCCGTGGGGGCACCCTTGAATCAAAATTTCAATAAGGATAGTTTAGGAATTCACATCTTTGTAAATTTCAGTTTTACCCTAATATGTTTTATAAATAAGGAATTGTTATTGAACTTTTGTATTATCATCATAAAAGAGATATTAGAGAAAAGAGGGTGTGCCTTTTTTTCTCTTGTAAACATTTTTTATCATAGTGAATTACTACAGCAGTAGAAAAGAATATAGTTTCAAATTGAGATGAAACTCTATAAAATTGCTTTTTTTTTGAGTGTCTATTTCTCTTACAGAAAAGTGATTGCTCTAGATGAAATAGAATTATGATTTCTAATTCTGAGCTATCCAGTCCTATTGATTCATTACTCTGTATTAGTATCACACCTTGCCGTAAGGAGAAACTAGCTTCTGAAGGGCTGTGATCTTGTCCGTCAACTTCTGGCTTCTCCTTGTCGGCACCTAGCGTATGCAAATTATACAAATTAGTTTTTTTTTATTAACACTATTGACAATTTTTGAATTCCTATCAAAACCCCTAATAGAGAATAGTAATGTGAGCCTACACGTGAGCCCACGCACACACACAGAGTTACATACCCTTCGTCTTGTGATTTTCTCTCCCTCCATGTCTTCTTGAAAGAACATTGCTTTCTTCAATTTTTTATCAGTAACCTCAGCTGAACGTTTTCTTGTATTTTGTGTAGGCAGTAATTCCTATGAATTAAAAAAATTAGACTGAGAAGAAAATTGTACTCACCAGTCTCAATCACT